AGAGATTCCCTGTGGCCGTTCCCCTCAATAATAAGTATACCATTTTGGATGCTGTTGGGGGGGGACGACCTATCAGGGGAAGGCCATAGTGGACAGGTCTCTGGCACTGAGCCTGACCCTGTGGCAAAGAAGGGAAGGGGGGCAAATAGGAGAGCAATTGTAGTGGGGGATTCAGTAGTAAGAGGCACAGACAGGCAGTTCTGTGGACGTGAACGAGATGAACGGATGGTATGTTGCCTCCAGGGTGCCAGGGTCCGTGATGTCTCGGATCGTGTCTTCAAGATCCTTAAGGGGGAGGGTGAGCAACCAGCACTCATGGTACACATCGGTACCAATGACATAGGTAGAAAAAGGACAGAGAATGTGAAAAACGAGTACAGGGAGTTAGGTTGGAAGCTGAAGTCCAGGATAAACAGGGTAGTTATCTCTGGATTATTACCAGTGCCACGTGATAACGAGGTAAGAATTAGGGAGAGAGTGCAGCTAAACACGTGGCTACAGGGCTGGTGTAGGAGGGAGGGCTTCCATTATGTGGATAATTGGAGCACATTCTGGAGAAGGTGGGACCTGTACAGTAAGGATGGGTTGCACCTGAACCGGAAGGGCACAAATATCCTGGGAGGGAGGTTTGTTCGTGCTTTATGAGATGGTTTAAACTAGATTAGCAAGGGGTGGGGATCCGGATTTATAATTCAGAGGATGAGGTATTCGCACTTCCAACAGACACAACAGGAGTGAGTAGGAACTGCAGATTCTGGAGAACCTGAGATAACAAGATGTAGAGCTGGATGAACACAACAGGCCAAGGAGCATCAGAGGAGCAGGAAGGCTGACGTTTCGGGCCTAGATCCTTCTTCAGAAAAACGTCAGCCCGAAATGTCAGCCTTCCTGCTCCTCTGGTGCTGCTTGGCCTGCTGTGTTCATCCAGCTCTACACCTTGTTACCTTACAACAGAGAGTGAGGTGGTTTATAAAGAAATACGGTTGATGGAGCATAATTGCGGAGATGGTTTGAGGTGTGTATACTTCAATGCAAGAAGTATCAGAAATAAAGCGGATGAATTTAGAGCAGGGGTCGGTACTTGGAACTATGATGTTGAGGCCATTACAGAAACTTGGGTAACTCAGGGAGAGGAATGGATGTTGGAAGTTCCAGGATTTAGATCATTAAAAGAAATAGGGAGGATGGAAAAAGAGGTGGGGGAGTGGCATTGCTAGTCAGGGTGAATATAGCAGCTACTGAAAGGCAGTTCAAGAATGATATGTCTACAGAGTCAGTTTGGGTTGAGGTCAGGAACAAGAAAGGAGCAGTCACTTTGTTGGGGGTTTTTTACAGACCCCCTAATAGTTGCAGAGAAATAGAGGAGCGGATTGGGAGGCAGATACTGGAAAGGTGCAGAAGTTACAGGGTTGTAGTCATGGGTGACTTCAACTTTCCAAATATTGATTGGAAACATTTTATTTGTAATAGTTTAGATGAAGCAGATTTTCTGCAGTGCGTTCAGGAAGGATTCCTGACACAGTATGTAGATAGACCAACAGGAGGAGAGGCCACTTTGGATTTGGTGCTTGGCAATGAACCGGGCCAAGTGTTAGACCTGTTGGTAGGAGAGCATTTTGGCAGTAGTGATCATAACTCTGTTTCTTTCACGATAGTCATGGATAAGGTACATACGGCAGGATAAAGTTTATAATTGGGGGAAGGGTAATTACGATTCAGTTAGGCAAGAACTGGGTAACATAAATTGGGAACTGATGCTGTCAAGGAAGACCACCAAGAAATGTGGAGATTGTTTAAGGAATGCATACTGCATGTGATCGATATGTTTGTCCCTGGCAGGCAGAGAAGATGCGGTCGAGTGAGGGAGCCATGGTTCTCGAGAGAGGTCGAACGACTGGTTAAGAGGAAGAAGGAGGCTTATGTAAGGTTTAGGAAAAGAGGAACGGAAAAGGCTCGAGAGGGATACAAGTTAGGAGCTGAAAGGAAGAAGGAGCTGAAGAAAGGGCTTAGGAGAGCTTTAAGGGGGCATGAGAAAACCTTGGTGGATAGGATCAAGGAAAACTCCAAGGCTTTTTACACCGATGTGCAGAACGAGAGAATGACCAGAGAAAGGGTAGGGCTGATCAAGGATTGTAAAGGGAATTTGTGCACAGAGCCTAAAGAGATAGGAGCGGTCCTTAATGAATACTTTTCTTCAGTATTCACAACTGAGAGGGACCTAGTTGTAGAGGAGGATGTTGTGAAACAGGCAGGTAGGCTAGAGGAGGTTGATGTTAGGAAAGAAGATGTGCTGGGAATTCTGAGGAAGTTGAAGATAGATAAGTGGCCCGGGCCTGATGGGATTTATCCAAGGATTCTATGGGAAGCGAGGGACAAGATCGCAGGGCCTTTGGCGATGATCTTTTCGTCCTCACTGTCCACGGGTATAGTGCTGGAAGTTTGGAAAGAGGCAAACGTCATTCCCTTGTTCAAAAAAGGGAACAGGGATAACCCCAGAAATTACAGACCAGTTAGTCCTACATCAGTCGTGGGCAAATTATTGGAAAGGGCTCTGAAAGACAGGATTTATGATCACTTGGAAAGGCACAGTTTGATCCGTGATAGTCAGCATGGATTTGTGAGGGGTAGCTCATGTCTCACAAACCTTACTGAATTCTTTGAAAGGTGACCAAACTCGTGGATGAAGGTGGAGCAGTGGATGTGGTATACATGGATTTAAGTAAGGCGTTTGATAAGGTTCCCCATGGTAGGCTCATGCAGAAGGTAAGGAGGCATGGGACAGGGGGAAATGTGGCAGATTGGATTCAGAATTGGCTGACCCTAAGAAGACAAAGGGTGGTAGTGGACGGAAAATATTCAACATGGTGCTCGGTTACGAGTGGTGTACCACAAGGATCTGTTCTGGGTCCTCTTCTATTTGTGATTTTTGTAAATGATTTGGCTGAAGGAGCGGAAGGGTGGATTAGCAAGTTCGCAGACGATATGAAGGTGGGTCTCATTGTGGACAGTGCGGAGGGCTGTTCTAGGTCACAAAGGGACATTGATAGGATGCAGAGCTGGGCTGAGAAGTGGCAGATGGAGTTTAACCCTGAAAAGTGTGAGGTGATTCATTTTGGAAGGACAAACTTGAAAGCAGAAGGGTTAACAGAAAGATTCTTGGCAGTGTGGAGGAGCAGAAAGATCTTGGGGTTCATGTTCACGGTTCCCTGAAAGCTGCCACCCAGGTGGATAGAGTTGTTAAGAAGGCGTATGATGTGTTAGCTTTCATTAATAGAGGGATTGAGTTCAAGAGCTGTGAAGTCATGCTCCAGCTCTACAAAAACGTGGTTCGGCCACATGTGGAGTATTGTGTCCAGTTTTGTTCACCTCGTTACAGGAAAGATGTGGAAGCGTTGAAAAGGTGCAGAGGAGATTTACCAGGATGTTGCCTGGAATGGAGGGAAGGTCTTACAAGGAAAGGTTGAAAGCGCTAGGGCTTTTCTCTTTAGAATGACAAAGGATGAGAGGTGACTTGACAGAGGTGTACAAAATGATCAGAGGTTTAGATAGAGTAGACAGCCAGAGACTTTTTCCTCAGGTGGAGGTAGCTTTTACGAGGGGACATAGTTTTAAAGTGAAAGGAGGTAGATATCGGGGAGACGTCAGAGGTAGGTTCTTTACTCAGACAGTGGTAGGGGCGTGGAATGCATTGCCGAAGAGGGTAGTGGAGTCGGCCTCATTCGGGGCATTTAAGCGGCTATTAGATAGGCATATGGATGATAGTACAAGGTAGCGGTGGAGGTCAGATAGACCTTAGTTTTCGGGTAAAAGTTCGGCACAACATTGTGGGCTAAAGGGCCTGTACTGTGCTGTACTTCTACGTTCTATGTTCTAAAGAAACACTCATATTCACTGATCATAATCCATTGATCTTTTTAGACAAATCTAACAATCAAAATTTCAAACTGCTTCAGTGGGGTTTGCTCATTTAACTGCATAAACAGTTATTTATATGCCCAGCACAGATAATATTTACCAAGTTTGACAGGCTATGTGACTTTTGGGAATTGCTCAGCAGTAATGTGAGCTTTGACTCACCTGATCATTAGTGTCAAGAAAATTTGGAAAGGAGAGAAGTAATTATTTTAAGAGAGATTCCTGGGAAGGTTCGTGGCTTGAATTGCTGGACAAATATGGTTTGGGACAGATGGGATATCTGTGCGGATGGTGTTTAGCAACACTATTCTGGAGTTGTTTCCTACCTTTCCAGGACATCTGCATGTATCACTTCGAGAACTGATCTCAAAGTATGCAAAGGGCAAGTCCCTTTCTCATGAAAAGTTAAGAAGATACTTTATAGCAGGAGAACCTGTACAGATCCCTCTCTCAGTGGGAACCTGAGAAAGTTTCTGATATCAGTATTTCATCAACTCTGAAAGATGGACTCTCATTTCTCGTCAAAGACCTAACTCTAACTGACTTTTCCATTTGTCTGAAGATATTCTATCAATCTAAGGTGGACAGTATTTCAATATCATCAATATAAAACACACTTTATCCTTTGAGTATGGATGCTTAGCCTGTGGGTGTTTTGTATCCCCCTTTGGCTTTTAAAGTCAGATCATCTCTGTCAAATTGGATGCTGTTTATCATGTGAATGTTTTTTTGTGTGGGTTTAAGAGGGCATTGTTTAATTACAGAATGTATTTTAGTTGGGAAACAGTTTTTCACTTTATTTAAACCACACAGTCTGATGACAACAACCAAGTAATTTTTGATTGACATTCCAGAAAGCCGATGAAAGTCATGAATGGAAGTGTAGCAATATGGTGATGAAATCAAAAACTGACTTTGATTTAGGACCAATGATACAGCTTGAGGAGGAGAGTGATAATCGAGTCATGAAATGTACTGATGCTAATTAACACACCCATAAAACTCATGAAGCAAACCCGAGGCTGTACGGTTGTCCACTGAATGTTGGATGTGAACCGTTGAGCAATGAAGAGTATATCACTTACCGGAAACGTGAAGCTGGGTTATGGGTTTGTAGCTGTATTTAGACTTTCCCTCAAATTCTACTCTGAAAAGATAAGGTCCTGCATCTTGCCGCCTGATGTTGTTTATAATCAGGGAACAGTCTCCATCTTTCAGGTGTCCAGACAGTCGGGTCCGATGGTGGAAATGTGGCGACTCTTGACTGTGATCCCGGGAGTGAAAGACTATCGACGATGTGACCTCTTTCTCGTTATTAAACCAGATTCCATCTCGATGTTGGTCTGCCAGATCTAAAGGATACCTGTAATGACATGGAATCTGTGCACAGGAACCTTCCTGTGCTGTCACCTCATGTGGAGTGTCGGCTTCCCAGTTTTGTGCCAGTCCAGCTGGGGAGAGAAATATCAGTATTTAGCACTGAATAGGCTGTAGATCATTAGACTCGATATCCACTCCCTCCATCACTGGTACACAATGGCTGCAGTAAGGACCATCTACAGGACACACAGGGAACTCCCCAGGATTACACAGATGGAGAGGAATTCTGGATATAGGAGTGGACAAGTTCATTCTACCTTAGCTCATGGTAATTACAGACTCCCAAACTAATTTATAATGCTTCTAACATGAGATTGCTGTGCGGAAGGACTGTGTTAATAATGGGATTCAGGAAGCAGCAAATCACTTAGAGGATGGTTTGAGAACAATGATGAGACAGACCAGAGAGACGACGGATAAAAAAGAAGTATGAATCTACCGGAATAAATTGGATACAGGACACAGAAACAAGCCATTCAGCCCAACTAGCCCATGCTGTTGTTAATACTGCACTTCAGCCTCCCATCTTTCTTCATCCCTGACCGACATCGAAACCCTCTCTTCTCTTCTCCCTTGTGTGTACATCCAGTCCCCACATTAAATACATCGACATGATTCACCTCGACAACTTCCTATGGAAGTGATTACCACATTCTGCTCAGGCTGAGTGATGAGGGTTCTCCTGAATTCACAGTTGGGTTTTTTGTGTCTGTCTTATATCAATAGTCCTCAGTGCTTCCCCAAGAGGATGCATTCTTCATGAATTCACTGTGTCAAAACCTTTCAGAAGTTTAACAGCATTGTTAAGGTTACCCATCAGCCTTCTATTTCTGCCAGAAAAGACCAGTCTGTCAGTCCTTTCCTGATGCATTGATCCATATATTTCTGAGATACACTGTATTAAACTCCCCCGCACCCTCTCAAATACTGCTGGCTCCATTTCATAGTGTGCAGATCAGGATTGCACACAGTACTGCAGTTGTGTTCTGACCAGGATTCAATACAGGTTTAACAAAGCGTTCCTCCGTTTCAATTGTGTCCCTGCAGAAATAAAGTGCTGTGTTTGGTTTGTTACTGTGTGGCTTTGCTCACCCATGGAGCAGTGATTAATGATTGATGCATTTGTACAACATGAACGCTGTGTTCCACAACTCCAGCTGACTCACATCTTCCACTCAAAAAGTGACCTCCCTATTTTTCCTGCCAATGTGTATTCATTGTTGTTTGTTGGTTGGAACTTGGTTATAGCTGAAAAGAGAGCTGTGTTTTTGAAGTATTTCATTTTGCACCAATCAGGACAGATTCAAGAATGCCAAATTTCAAAGGGGACCAAAATCTATACTGCATGAAGAAAGGTTCCCATTTCATTGTCCGGCAGAATCTGGTCACGACATGCCATGGAGAATTTACCAGGGAACAGTTAGCACCTCAATAAGGAATAGAACAACTGCGGATGCTGTAAATCAGAAACAAAAACAGAAATTGCTGCAAAAGCTCAGCAGGTCTGGCGGCATTTTTGGAACTGAGGAAATGTCATTTGACCCGAAACGTTAACTCTGATTTCTCTCCAAATTTATCACTTCAAGCTTATGTCTAAAATTAAAGCAGTCACCTTGACGCTGACTGTTCATGGTGTTACTGGAGAGTGAAGGGAAAATAGTGCAGATGCTGGAAATCTAAGCTAGCTGTGAGAAAGCTGGAGAAATTCAGAGAAACTCTGTGGAGAGGGAAACAGTTCACAGAGAAGTCTGGAATGACTGTTCAGAATTAGAAGGTGTTGGAAAAGAGGAATTTTTTTATAATTTTGACATAGGTGCAGAGGAACAGATGGCATAGAGACCCAATGCATTGAACAAAGGTAATCATGGAGAAAAAAAAATCAAAAAGGTGTAAATTGAAGTGTGAAAAGCAAAGAATTAATCCATGCTCCACATTGCTGTATTGTTGATTCCGATGCAGCATTGGAGACTGATTTCTCCCAGACCTCAGCCCTGACCCTACTCTAGCAGACACTCTCAAACACTTGAGCAAAGTGCCTCTAGCCTGACCTCTGCATGTGCTGAGAACTAAGATAAAAATGGAACTGAATGTTTGACATTTTTCTTCCTTCCTCTATCGGTTATCTTATTGAGGTTTCTAGCACAGTGAGAATGGACAGGACGTGAGATACTAAATAGCCTGTTTATTTTAGGAGATGTGGTTTGCCTTCGTGGGCAATTGTGACGAAAATCAACAAAATGCACAAATTTCGGAAAATTTCAATTGAACATGTCACTTCAAAGTAAACATAATCCTTTAGTATTTATCAAGGCTCACTACCCAAAACCGGATCAGACTCAGTGACTTCCATTGGCTAACAAAGCCTCAGTTTTATGATAATCACCATTGATTTCCCATCCTTATCTCGCCTTTTCACTATCTGACTCTGTAACCTGCTCTAGATCTACAACATACGCTGTGAAATCTCTGTGCTCCTCCACCACTGTTGTCAGACTGAGAACCAGTGCATATCAGCGAGCACAGGGTGATGTGTGACCCGGACTTGGTGTGAGTGTGTACACTCACTCACTGCTGAATTGGCTCCCAATCAGAGATCAATAAGAAAGTCTTTGTAAAGATTAATCAAATACAAGTCTGGCTGAGCTGACAATGTCATTACCTTGGAGGAGTGACAGCAGGAAGTAAGATTTCCCAATCATTGTCCTCTCCCAGATATTTCATCAGCTTCTCCCTCTCAAGCTCTGAAAGAGAAAAGAGTTCATGAGACCTCACTTCTTATCCTACAGCTTTCGAGAGATCAGAACAACTTTTATACAATGTCCTCACAGACTATTTTGATTCTCTGTGGGATGATAGGCCTCAGCAGAGAGTTACAAGGCTCCAATAAAGTTAAGCAATGAATGATTTGAATATCTCGTGCCTCTCACCTCCTCAGCATCTGCCAAATCTCCTGTCTCTGCTCTTGCCTTGTCCGTTGGTGGAGGAAAATGTTCTGTATGAGTGACTTGAGCCTCACCACCTGATCTCAATGAACAGAAATCTTTGGAGGCATCAATCACTGGAATATGCCCCTTACAAAGTCACAACATCAAGGACAGATAATGTTGATCGTGGAAGTGATTCCTGTTGTTATATTATTTGCTGGCCTGAGGAGTAAGTGCCGACACACTCTGCTGGGTCTGCATGGCCCCTTCCTATGCTTCTCACCCCGGCATTTAATTAGCATTTTCAATGTGTCACTGTGAGTGCGATTGCGAAGTTCGTTCAAAGTGAGAAAGCAGCAGTTTTCCCGGCATTACAAACAAACTGTTAACCCTCTGTGTGGCTGTGATATTGTTTGATGGTTTGATGGAGCTGAATGGGCCTTCTCCTTCTCCTGTTCCTCTGTCACAAACCCAACTTCCTCTTGTTCCTATATCACAGGCTCGAGGAGCTGAATTGGTCTCATCCTGTGTGTAACAGGCTCAAAGGGCTGAATGGACCTCCTGTTCCTGTTTAAAAGGCTGGAGGAGGTGAGTGGACCTCATTCTGTTTGTGTCTAATAGAGATTGAGAATTGATCTCTGTTCGAGTAACAGGCCCAGAGCTCAATAATAAATAGAAATCTATTGAAGGCATCAATCATTGCAATCTGTATTTGTGAAGTCACAGCATCATCAAGGATATTGCAAATCACTTCAATGACAATTGTTTCATTACTTACCTACGACCGGTCCAACTGCTCATCTGGGGAGTAACTGCCGGGACCCCCTGCTTGGACGAATGGCATCTTCCTTTGCTGCTACCCTCTGCGTATATAATTATAAAGTGCAGATGTGTGACTCTGTGTCAGAATGAGGAAGTGGGGAACCAGTGAGAAATTCTACAAAATATTGCTTTCGTTGCAAATAGTTGACCATTTAAACCTGATTCTGTTATATTTCTGTTCAGAGCCAGGCAGCTGTTCACATGCAGTTTCTACACTGGCTCTGGGGCTTTAGAATTCTCTCCCTTACTCTGAGATAGGAAATCAGGAGATGGAGACCCTTTTACAGAATCTCTAACCCATGTTCTTGTACAATTATATCAGCTAGCAGCAAAATCAGGCCATTCTGCCTCCCGATCCTGCTCTCCCATTCAATATGAACATGGCTGATGTGTTTGTATGCTGAATTATAAAGTCCCGTCTATTCCCGATAACATTTAATTCCCTTGTCTAACTATATTCTATCTTCTTCTGCTGAAAAATATTCAATGACCCTGTCTCAAATGCCATCTGAGGCTGAATTCCAGAGTTACAAAACCCACTGAGAGAAAAAAATCGCAATCTCTGTCCTGAAAGAATGATTGGACACAAAAACAAAGCTGCTGGAAAAGCTCAGCAGGTCTGGCAGCATCTGTGGAGGAGAAAACAGAGTTAACGTTTCGGGTCCAGTGACCCTTCCTCAGAGCCCTCCTCTGAAAGAGTGATTCCTCATTTTAAGGCGTTGCATCTTGGCTCTGTACTCACCCACCTTGTCAAGACCATTCAAGAACAATTAGTGTCTGCTTATGCTTCCAAATTCCAGTGGAAACAATCCCAGTCTGCTCAAGCTTTAATGTAATAAACATCTGAACTGGTAGCAACACATGTACCTCCTTCCCTAAATAAGCAGACCAAAACTGTAGCCAGTGTTTGAGGTGTGCTCTCACTAAGCATCATATAACTGAAGCATAACATCCATAATTTTATGTTCAATTCCTCTTGAATTAAATGACAGCATTTCATTGAACTTCTTAATCATTCCAGTAGCTACATGCTGATGTCTTATGACTTAAGCCCTACTCAGGAATTCCTTAGTTGCTGTCCACTTTTTAAAAATTTTTCTTGCTAAACTGAACAACAACAAAATGAAGAAAATGGCAGACTGAGAGTAATGTGGACACCCTCATCCACTTAACAGAACTTGTCCTTACCCTGAACAACTTCTCCTTTAACTCCTGCCACTTCCTACAAGCTAGGAGGGCGGCTATGGCAACCTGTATGGGTCAGAGCTATAAGACCATAAGACATAGGAGCAGAAATTAGGTCATTCAGCCCACCGAGTCTGCTCTGCCATTCAATCATGGCTGATAAGTTCCACAACCCCATGCTCCTGCTTCCTCCCTGTAACCCTTGATCCCCTTGATAATCAAGAACCTATATATCTCAGTCTTAAGTGTACTCAATGACCTGGCCTCCACAGCCTTCTGTGGCAGTGAATTCCATAGATTCACACTCTCTGGCTGAAGAAGTTTCTCCTTATCTCCGTTCCAAAAGGTCTTCCCTTTACTCTAAGGCTGTGCCCTCGGGTCGTAGACTCTCCTACAAATGGAAGCATCTTCCCAACATCCACTTTGTCCAGGCTATTCAGTATTCTGAAAGTTTCAGTTAGATTCCCCCTCATCCATCTAAACTCCAATGAGTAGAGTCCCAGAGTCCTCAAACTTTCTTCATATGTTCAGCTTTCCATTCCTGGGACCATTCTCATGAACCTCCTCTGAACCTGCTCCAGGGCCAGTACATCCTTCCTGAGATATAGCGCCCAAAACTTCACACAATACTCCAAATGTGCCTGATCAGAGCCTTATAAAGCCTCAGTAGTACATCCCTGCTTTTATATTCAAGTCCTGTCAAAATAAATGCCAACATTGCATTTGCCTTCCTAACTACTGACTCAACCTGCAAGTTTATCTTGAGAGAATCCTGGACTAGAACTCCCAAGTCTCTTTGCATTTCAGACTTCTGAATTTTCTCCCCATTTAGAAAATAGTCCATGGTTTTATTCTTCTTACCAAAGTGCATGGCCTCAATTTCCCACATTGTGCTCCATCTGTCACTTCTTTGCCCACTCTCCTAACCTGTCCAAATCCTTCTGCAGCCTCTCCACCTCCTCAATACTACCTGTCCCTCCACCTATCTTTGTATTATCTGCAAACTTAGCCAGAATGCCCACAGTTCTTTCATCTAGATCATTAATGTACAAAGTGAAAAGTTGTATTCCCAACACTGACCCTTGCGGAACATCACTTGTCACCGGCTGCCATCCTGAGAAAGACCCTTTTATCCCCACTCTCTGCCTTCAGCCAGACAGCCAATCTTCTATCCATGCTAGCACCTTGCCTCTAACACCATGGGCCCTTATCTTACTCAGCAGCCTCCTGTGTGGCACCTTATCAAAGGCCTTCTTGAAGTCCAGGTAGATAACATTCATTGGCTCTCCTTGGTCTACCCTGCTCATTACTTCCTCAAAGAATTCTAGCAGATTTGTCAGGCATGACCTCCCCTTGATGAAACCATGCTGACTTTGCCCTATTTTACTATACACTTCCAAATATTCAGCAACCTCATCCTTTACAATGGACTCTAAAATCTTACCCACGACTGAGGTTAGGCTAATCGGCCTGTAATTTTATGTCTTTTGCCTTACTCCCTTTTTAAACAGGGGTGTCACGCTAGCCATTTCCCAGTCCTCTGGGACCCTCCCTGACTCTAGTGATTCCTGAAAGATCACCACTAACGCTTCCACTATCTCTTCAGCTATCTCCTTCAGAACTCTGGGGTGTAGTCCATCTGGTCCAGGTGATTTGCCCACCTTCAGACCCATCAGTTTTACTCGCACCTTTTCTTTGGTGATGGCCACCATACTCAGCTCTGCCCCCTGATTCTCTTGAATTTTCAGGATATTACTTGTGTCTTCCACTATGAAGACTGATGCAAAGTAATCATTCAGTTCCTCAGCTATTTCCTTGTTCCCCACTATCATCTCTCCACCGTCATATTCCAGTGGTCCAATGTCCACTTTTGCCTCTCTTTTGCCCTTTATATACCTAAAGAAACTCTTACAGTCTTCATTTACATTACTGCCTAGCTTACCCTCATATTTAATATGAGTACATTCAGATATATAACACCTTCAGTCCTGTATTAACCCTCCCTCTTCTCATTTTCATTCGTTTCTCCAGTGTTTGATTGCTATCCTTTTCCAAACACTCTGTCCTATTTGTGTCTGTGCTGGAGACTTTAATAATTGCTCTTGAATATTCCTTCCCTGTCATTTCTTTCATATTTTTCCACTTAGTTGTATCCACCACTACAGATGTTAACCTGCTACTTTGTTTCCCACTGGGGGGCAAGTTTCACCATTCCCTTCACTTCATAGGATATGTGGAGCAGTTCCTTTTTCAATTTTACACTGGCACCATCCCCCATCTCTTCCTCCTTTACATCGATGACTGTATTGGCGTTGCCTTCTGCTCCCATGAGGAGCTTGAACAGTTCATCAACTTTAAGAACACCTTTCACCCCAGACTCAAAATTCACCTGGACCATCTCCAATACCTTCCTCGCCTTCCTGGACCTCTCCATCTCTATCTCTGATAACCGCCTCTGATATCTAAACCCACCGACTCCCACATTTACCGAGATTGCACCTACTCTCACCCACCCTCCTGCAAGAATGCGATCCCATTCTCCCAACTCCTCTGCGTCCGCTGCATCTGCTCTCAAGATGGAGCGTTCCACTTCCAGACAATCCAGATGTCCTCCTATTTCAAGGATTGCAACTTCCCCGCTCTGGTGATCAAAAATACCCTCAACCACATCTCTTGCATTTCCCGCACTTCTGCCCTCAAACCCCCTTCCCCCAGCAAAAATAAAGAATACCCCTTGTCCTCACATACCATCCCTCCAACCTCCGCGTCCAGTACATCATCCTCCGCCATTTCCTCCATCTACAATCCGACCCCATGACCAAGGAGATATTTCCATCCCCACCCCATCTGCCTTTCATAGGGACTGCTCATTGCATGACTCCCTCATCCACTCCACACTCCTCACTAACCCTACCACACCCGGCACCTCCATTCAAGGCTCAAAGCAAACGTTCCACATCCAGCAGGGGTTCACCTATACATCCTCCAACCTAGTCTACAGAATCCGTTGCTCCTGATGTGGCCTCTTCTACATTGGTGAGACCAAGTGCAGACTCGGGGATCGTTTCATGGAGCATCTGTGCTCTGTATGTGATAATCGACAACACCTTCCAGTCGCCAACCATTTTAACTCCATCTCCCACTCCCTTGATGACAAGCCCATCCTGGGCCTCCTCTAGTGCCACAATGATGCCACATGCAAACTGGAGGAGCAACACCTCATATTCCACCTCAGGAGCCTATAGCCCGATGGCCTGAACAGTTTTAAAATCTCCCCACACCCAGCCACATCCACGTACAAACCTCCCTCTCATCCCTGGCTCCTTGACCTGAGACCACCTATCCACCCTACTTTTCACACTACCAATCCCCACGACCCCTTACCTGCATCCAACCTATCACGACCCAACCTACCTTTCCCCAGCCCCATCCATCCTCCCTCCTACCTCATTGACCTGACACAAACTGTCCATTTTCCCTCCTACCTATCCACCCAACCCATTCCATTGACCAATCCCCACACTCCCTACCTACGTTCACATATCACCATCCCAACTACCTATCCCCAGCCCCAGCCCTCCTCCCTTTACTTATTTCTCAGCTCCCTGTCCCCTCCCCAGTTCTGAAGTAGGGTCCTGACCCGAAACATCAACTTTCCTGCTCCTCTGATGCTGCCTGGGCTGCTGTGTTCCTCCAGCTCCACACCATGTTGTCTCTGACTCCAGAATTGGCTGTTCTTACTATCTCAAAATGAAGAAAATGGCAGAATGTGGATATTGCAGCTGCTCCTGAGATTGCAGGTTGACTCCTAACTTTATTATTAGTTATTACATTTCAGTTGTTTAAGATTTTTAATTTGAT